AGGGATGGGATTTTTTTTTTTTTTGATTACAAGTCCCATAATTCCCCACCTCTAATGGTAAGCATATTTTGCCGCCATGTCGTTAGCTAGCATTTATTTCCTACACTCATCCTTTTGTTTAAGGGATGTGGTGGTGCTGCAGGCTAAACCGCAGAAGCCTGTGGTGCAGGGTCAGAAGACCAAGCAGTCGTAAGATCGAATCCACGTGACAGAGTGAGCGCCCGTCGCTTGTCCCAGCTCCTGCCAATCTAGCGGTTCGAAAGCATGCAAATGCAAGTAGATAAATAGGGACCACCTCGATGGGAAGGTAACAGCATTCCGTGTGTAAGTCGCACTGGCCATGTGACCACGGAAATATTGTCTTCGGACAAACGCTGGCTCTATGGCTTGGAAACAGGGATGAGCGCCGCCCCCTAGAGTCAAACACGACTGGACAAAAATTGTCAAGGGGAACCTTTACCTTTACCTTTACCATCCTTTTGTTGGCTCCAGAGGTGAACCAGGAAATGCCGACCCGGGACTGCCTTGTGGGATAATTCTACAGGATGTATCCTAAATGCTTGAAGGAGGGCCACACCCTTAATTCTTTCTTTGAAAAAGAATGCAAAGATATGTGGTATGTTCAAGTGAGGGCGGCTAAGCTAATTCTAAAACAGAATGTCTTCCAAGGAGCAGCTGCTAATAAAAATAATCGTCTCTGTAGCTTCAGCTCCTGCTCTGAGGATCAAAGAGAAAAGCTTAGCAGATTATTATTATTTTTTTCAAAGTCAGAAGCAGATGCCATAAAAGAGGATCCAAGAAAAAATTGGCAGCAAAGCCAGGAATTGTTCCAAAGTCATATTTCATACACCATGGCACAAAAGCAGAATATATTTAGCTATTGACAATGATTCAGTTTTGAGAAAATAGACTTTGTCATTCTGTTTCTCTGCTGATTGCTTCTTTTCCACGGCCACTAACGGGGACCTTTGTTGTTTCTATTACTGTTATTACTGCTCATTAGTACCAAAGCAAGGGGGACCTAAGACGAAATATGACTGTAATCATAGGCTTCCTTTTGCTGTTCTGGTCAGCCGGCCATGCCCTCCTTTGTAACACGCCATTTCATCTGCCCACTCCCCAAAACTAGTTAGCAACCTCTGTCTCCTGCACAGCTTCAGCCCCTCCTGGGCTGTATTTTCTAGATAATACTTTTCCAAGGAGAAGACTCCTTGGAAAAGACCTTGATGTTAGGAAAGTGTGACCAACCTCTGTCTCCTGCACAGCTTCAGCCCTTCCTGGGCTGTATTTTCCAGATAATACTTTTCCCCCTAAAGAAAAATTTTGGCCCCTTCATTTGCAAAGCTTGGTCTTCCCTCAGAGCCTCTGGTCCATGGGGTCACGAAGAGTTGGACACGACTAAACGACTAAAAAACAACAACTTTTCCCCCTAAAGAATATTTTTGATCCCTTCATTTGCAAAGCCTGGTGTTCCCTCAGAGGTGATGAGACTTCCCTCTCATGCATCGATGCCACCATTTTGACTGGACGTGTCCTTCTCCGCTGAAGGCTCCTGCCTCTTCCTCCTTCTCCAAGTGAGCAGACGTCTCTGTGTCAGGTCCAAGACCTTTCAAGGGTCTGAGAAGAAGCATGGACTCTTAAACCCCTTTGGTTGCTACCCAAGCCTTGCAAGGACCCTGTAGACAATCCTCCTCCCCATCAGGCCCAGCTTGCTTGTTTTTCCCCCACCTCTTCGGCTAACCTCCCAGTCACAGGCAAGAGCACGGACTTCTCTGCTCCACCCTTTTGTCTGAGCGGGAGATGAGCCTACAGGATCGGGCAGAGAAGCCTGAGCTAGTTGAGGGGGTGGAAAAAAAACCAAGCCTGTGGTGAGTGGCTTTTTGAGCCAGAGGAGCCAGGGAGGAGGAGCCGCCTTTACAGACTGGGATGAACCAGTTCATGTCCATCTCTACTCCTTATCACTGAATGTGATACACACATACACACATACAGTGGTGCCTTGCTTAATGACGTTAATCCATTCCAGGACAATTGCCGCTAAGCGAAAACATCGTAAAGCAAAAACCATTGAAACACATTGAAACGCATTCAATGCATTCTAATGGGGTAAAAACTCACCATCCAGTGAAGATCCTCCATACGGCAGCCATTTTAGCTGCCTGTATAGCGAGGAATCTGTCACTAAACACAGCGGGGAACCATTTTAATCACCCGGTGGCCATTTTGAAACCACCAATCAGCTGTTTGAAAAACGTCATTTTGCAAAGAATCGGTTCCCGAAGCAGGGAGCCGGTCATCGCAAAGCAAAATTCCCCCATTCAGATCATCGTTTTGCGATCGCAATTGTGAGCGCAAAAAGATAGTCATTAAGCGGATTCATTGTAATGCAGGGCAATCATAAAGTGAGGCACCACTGTAAATTAATATGTGTATTTTTAATGCAAATCTGTGCCTTCATTCATTCTCAGTGTTGGTCAGTCTGAGTTCCCAGACTATGGTTAGACTCCAGTTTCCAGAATCTCCCAAGGGCCTTATTGGTTGGGGAATTCTGCGAACTGTAGTACCCCCAAAGCTAGCTTTTCATGCTTTTATCTCAGTGATATGTTTCCTGTTTTGTGTGGGCAGACATGAAGGGCCATCAGAACCGCAATGTCTGTCACCAAGTCTTTGCAGGAGAGGGGACGAGACAATTGGATGGTGCCATGCTGCACACTGACTGTGGACTCAAAGAGTATCCAGTCTCTCTCCTTTTCTTGCCATTGTTGAGCTCTTCACGGCCAAATCCTTGATCTGTTTCTGTGGAGGGTTTCTCAGATCTGGGCTCGATAAGACATCACTGTGTAGGCATTATATTAAACCGTTCTTCAACATCACAAAGCGGATATTTTCTTGCCTCACTGATAATTTTCAATCACATCTTCTCCTAAACAAAGTTTCTCAAGTAAAGATTCAATTTAGATTCTGTCGGGTTGCTCTTAAGTGTTAATTAAATGGCAGATGATTATGGAGAGGAGGGGAAATCATATTTATGAGGGTCCTAAAGCTCCTCACTAACTTTGTTAGAGATCCTCATAACAAATTATTTCCACCCCATATATTTCTTTTCCTTAGCCCCTTTTAAAATTTCCTGCAATATTCTTTATGGCAGAATGTATTTATGTGAAATTTTCTTACTTTTGTCTGCCCATAATAGCTTGCAAATCATAAAAATGAAAAAGAAGCTGATAGAAAGAGAAGTATTGTTCACCCACCTAGTGTGATGAATTAAAGCAGTTTTTGAAGCTGGTGGAAATGAAGCTCCTTAAAAGTAATTGGCTGACCTGCCCCGATGTCACAACAGAATGACTTCTGGTTGTCTCGGGGTGAACTGCCAGAATCTTAGAGAAGACAGGGAAATACAGAAGGAGAAAACAGAAATAATTTTATCACATGCCTGACGGGTACAGTAGAACCCCCATATCCACTGGGGATTGGTTCCAAGCCCCCCCACACACACACTGATATTGAAAACATTGGATAATAGTGAATACAAGAGAGAGGGAACAGTTAAAAAAATCACAAAAAACATAATTATTTTCACATGCATTACCAGAACTGACTGCTAGAGAGTGCTGGATACTCTGCTTTATATTCTTCACTAACAAGTATTCATAGCATGTTCTTTGCCTCCCTCTAGTGGCCAGTTCTAGTAATACATGTGAAAACAGGGGTTTTTTATTTTACTATTTTCAGACTGTGGAGAAGTGAATCAGTGAATATTGATTCCGTGGATAAGGGAGTCCTGCTGTATATTCAAATGGTATCTACCATGTCATGTTTTCTCATCCAAATTGCATCCATGCTATCTCACTAGAACATCTACTGTGGAGAAGTGGTGCTTTTTCCATAAACTGAATTTTTATGATAACTGAGTTGTTTTCATATTGTTTTTATGGCTGCACTCAGCTCTGAGATCATAAGATATAAGGTGGAATATAAGTAAGTGTTCTAAATGTTGTTAATTTTAAAAAAATGTGTTGGGAAGCCCTACAATGAAATTCAACTTTATCCAACACCATAAAATGTGCTACCTACTACTGCAGATTCTCTGAGGAAGTCTGAGAAAGAAAGGTAGGGACAAACAGACAAATATTAAGGAGACCCAACCTGCTTAGCTTCTAATGTTAAATTAAATTGGCATGTCCAGGACTGTATGACGACATCTGACTTCATGTAGCAAGTAATTCACCAGTATAGGTTGATGGCAACTGAGTCGTTAAACTACATCTTCCACTTACAAAACTAGGTCTCTGATAACCAGATACAATGGGAAACATTAGGGAATGGTCACCCTCTTTCTTGAAAATAATACTTTGCTAGGTATTCTGACCAAGCCAAGCCGTTCCTATTGATTTAATTATTGGCCCCAACTAGAGCTGAGCCACCAGATCAATGGGACTTATGGAAGCATTGATTTATCACAAACTATTGATTCAGTGTATTTTCTCTGCTTGAAACGAATAACTGTTTTCAGCTCTATATTTTTATTTTTAAGAGAGAATAAATCATCATGAATTTCCTGACTACGAGTTGCAGATCTCATTCCTTCCAGCACTCAGATGGAATATAGAGCCTTCATCAGGATGTCTTGGAAGACTGATGCTGCCTTCCTTTCTTAGCATCATAACTATGGGGTGGGAGGGAGGTCATGAGTGTTTGATTTTTAAGTCTCTCCTTATTTGTAATGCAATTTCCTTAATTGCTCAGTTTTCACATAATTCATCTGCTCTTGCTTCCCGCAGCATCGTTTTTGCTAATAGCAGAGCTCTTGATGGGACCATCCTCTAAGGGAGAGGAGAGACCCAGAGTAGCATAGATTAAAAATGAATGGAGTGTTTACCTGTATGTCATTTTAATGGATGGCAAAATCCATTCTTGTGATAGACCCATAAATGTCACTTTCTGTCTGCCACAGCAAAATATGTAGGTAATGGATGGCATGTTGTGTTAATACCCAACAGGAAGCCTTTTCGACAAAGCCCGACGTGCATCCGTCACACTAAGAAGCTCAAAATGGGACCTTTATCAACTGATGCAAGGAGAAATATTTATACTCCAATGATGTGCCAATGATGCAGCAGATGTGGGATGTGCAGGTGAACAGGTAGATGCTGCTAGGCCACATGAAAATAAGTAGCTACTGTAACTGCAAAAGAGCCCCCCTGTTTCACCTCCCTTGTGTTCCATAAGCAACAGTACAAACACTGGTCCAGGCTAAAGAAAGATATCTTAACATTGCCCAGAGTGTGCATTGGGCCCTTATCTCTGTGCACCTTTATTTAGCTGCGGGAGGCATCACACATACAGTGGACCCTCTACTTATGGAATTTAATCCGTATTGGAACGGTGGCTGCAGGTCGAAAAGTCTGTAGGTTGAGTCTCCATTGACCTACAATGCATTGAAAACCAATTAATCCCATAACCGGCCATTTTTGTTCCATTTTGGGTTTTTTCTGGTCTGTAAGTCGATTCTCTGGCTGCAAGTCAAACCTAAATTTTGCGGCCAGAGAAGTCTGTAACTCGAGAAGTCTGTAAGTCGAGCCGTCTGTAAGTCGAGGGTCCACTGTACCTGATTTGTAGAATTATAAACAGAAATGCATTTTAGAATATTTTATGGGAAAGTGTGAGGCCAAGAGGAGAAGCTGACGACAGAGGATGAAATGAATGGACAGTGTCATCGAGGCGACCAACATGAATTTGACCCAACTCTGGGAGGCAGTGGAAGACAGGAGGGCCTGGCGTGCTCTGGTCCATGGGGTCACAAAGAGTTAGACATGACTTAACAACTAAACAACAACTAATTGTTTGCTACAGTATGGTTTGGGATTCCCAGGGTTGAATTGTGGGTGGAGTGATGGGCTAGGATTCTGGATAACAAAGTTTGAATCCCCACATGCCCCTGACCTCACTGGGGGAGCAGAACTGGTAAAACTACTCCCGAAATATCTTATTCAGCTGCCAAGCCCTATTAGGGTTGCTATAAGCCACTTCCAACTTCAGAGTACAGAACACACACCTAGCATGGTTTAAACAATGGGGCTGCAATGTGATGGGATGAAATAGCAGTATATGATTCTTGCAGTCCTTCCCTTAGTTCTGGTTGCTTCATGTTACCTCTCTTCTCAGGTCAGACACACTCCATTGCTGTCACTAGTTTGGTTCTTTCCTCCTTTACCGAGAACAGGTATTCTCTGGAGGGGTTCCAATAAATCACAACAGAGTTGTTTATCCATCTATGTGTTTGTTTTGCTTCAATCTGTTGCAATTTCCCTAAGGCTTTAATATCTTGGAAAAAAAATTTAAAAAAGGAAGAAAGGTGAATTTTAGAGAGTAAGGAAGGAGGCATAACAGGTTTTTACAGGAAAACCAGCCAAGAATATTATAGCACCTCTAAGATTAACGAGTTTTATTTGGGAAGAGCTTTTGCTAACAAAACCCACTTTTGGATATGTCTGTGAGTGAGGTATCTAGCTGCAAAGTCATTGGTCAAGGGTTCGATTCCTCTCTGTGCCCCCTGGGAGAAGAGCCAGCCTATGTAACCTTGAAGGAAGGGGACGGTAAACCATTTCTGAGCACACTGTACCTAGGAAACCCCAGAAAGAGGCGTCATAGGTTGGAATTGACTTGACGGCACATAATAATAATAATTATATGCACACTGGTTCTGGATAGGCCAAAGGGATAGAATGAAATGGAACACAGAAAGTAGCAATTCTGCTATTAATGCTGGTCTGAAACATTCAATAGGATGGGTTAGCACAAACATCCTGCAAAAAGTAAGGTCACTTCCAGAAGCCAGTTATTCTCCAAGATACTAAAGCAGTGGTTTCTGCTTATGAAGAAAATAGAGCTTCTATTTAAATTGTAGGAATTCCTTGTATATTTGCATTTAGCCCCCCAAAGTAAGCTTTTCCAAGTCTGGACGAACTGCATTGATTGTAAGCGTGCCTCCTCCGTGCGAACCCAGTGCAGACTCTGAGTTCCAGGAACCATCTGCATAGACTTTAGTGTGCTTACCTCCCATCACAAGGAATATAGAAAGCCAAAGGTGAAACCCAAGATCCCAAGCCTGAATTGTAACACAGCGTGCTAGCTGTTTTGATGTTGTATTTAGGAATGTTTGTGTTGTTGCCCCCCCCCAAAAAAAGCTCCAATACTAATCCTCTTTTTGGGACATAAATTCTGATGGATTAATAAAAGGGTGGGTGGGGGGTGCCTGAAAAATAGGTGCACAGACTAATTGTGGAAGAGAAGACTCATTAGTCACTCAATAAATAGTGCTAAAGCCCCTTGGGGAAATTTTTACAAGATCACAGTTATTAACCTTCTTCATCTGACTAATTGCTTTTTATCTCCTCCCAATCAGCTGGCCCCTCTCCATCCTAGTCGCTCTGTCCTGATGCCACCATTTCCACAGAACTTCGGCAATAGGGAAGGCGGGAGAGTCAGAATCCTCAGAGCCACATTGGCCCGGCTTTCAGGAAGGACTCAAGACTGCCAGGCTGTCTTTACGGCCAAAGACTTGGCAGCTTTAGCAGAAACAGAGGTTTGCCTGCCAAGAGTTAAGTTGCTTCTTGGATCATGCTTCCAAAGGCAAATATGCGAAAGGAAAAAACGCAAATAGAGAATCTTCTGTGGATTCTGCCTTAGATCAGGCCAGGCTATTTCCCTGTCTAACCTAGTACAGTAATAATTCATATAGCACTGTCCTGTGTAGCGCTGATTCGCTATAGCATGTGTGCTTGGGTGGCCATCTTGTGTTTCTCAACAACATCTTGTGTTTCTCCAGGAGTCTTGGGGCCCAATATACCCATTCCACATTGGTTGGTTTAATTGACCCTATTTATTGCTAATTCAGTTAGTACTCTATTTCCTTGGAACAAATCCTGAGCACTAAGTGGGGTATTATTGCATTGTCTACTGAAGACCAGCTACCAGATTATCACTAGTAGCAGCTCTCCATTATCCCAGACAAATGAAGAGCTGGCCTTCTGCTTGCTAGTTGTTCCTTTTTTCTTAGAACCTTTTGCAAACCATCAGTCTTGCCAAAGGGTTGGGAACCCGGCCCTGGTCCTCTGGCTACAGTCCTTGAGTCCAAAGTTGTAAGGCGATGGAAGAAGAACAGGAGATGACACCTTCAGGAACTAAAGAGGCAACTAGAGTCACAAGGAGAAGATCATCGAGGGCAAGGTGGACAGCACATGTCATGATTCACAAGCACAAATGACTGATAAGCCTGTTTTGGCTTAAATTCTGAGTCCTTGGAGAGCATTCATACAGATGTGGGTGAACAAGACAAATCTCTGTCACTGCCTAGTCTCTGCATAGATTTTCCTGGGGGCTAGAGAGTAGAACCTAAATGTTTGAGGAAACCCATGGACCTCCAGTTAAGACTGTGGTCCCCAACCTTGGGCCTCCAGATGTTCTTGGACTTCAACTCCCAGAAATCCTGGCCAGCAGAGGTAGTGGTGAAAGCTTCTCGGAGTTGTAGTCCAAGAACATCTGGAGGCCCAAGGTTGGGGACCACTGAATGAAGAGACAAGCCTTCGGAGCAACCTTCGATTTCAATCCAAGATCCAAGACACCCATGATGTTGCTCACATTAACATATGGATAGCAGAGAGTCTTGTGGTACCTTTAAAACTAGCACATTTTAATCAGCATGAGATGTCCTGCATTGTGGCCCACTTCATCAGAGACATAGAATGTAAACAGCCTAGGTGGATACATATCCAAGTGGATGTTGGATGGGGATGTGTGTATACACCCAAACAAACTTCTATGTATCTTACTGCTCAGTCAGACTCCACGCATCTGAGAAAGTGGACTGCAATCCACAAAAGTATGAAGACTTCTTAGTCTTTAGGGTGCTTCAGGTCTCCTTGATGCCAAGTTCAGGGCTGAGCAATACTTTTCCTGGATGACCTTGACCTTGCCACAAGATGAGTTCTCTGAAACTCTACATCAGGCATGGTATAAAATTTGGGTTTCAGCTTTGCCTGATGAAGCGTTCTAGAAGACTCAAAAGCTCACCATATTTATAACTTTATAATGATCCACTAAAGTAATTGCCCCCCTCGGAATATTGTTTCTACACATGGTAGCTTTTTGAAAGACTGTTGTATTGATGCAACAGTCTATCTCACTGATACTTCAAATATACATTTCTTAAAATTCTAGGTAGATACATTGGTCTGGAGCTTGTGAGCTGCACACTTAAGAGAAGAACACTGGGAGTGCAATGACCAAATTTCAGGTCCAAGCTTGTTCTTGCATCTGGAAGTGTTGGAGCCTCTTGTGCAAAAGATATTCTATACATACCATTGGGCTGTAGTGTTCTGTGCACGGTAAACTTCTGCTCCTGGGTGCTTTTGCTCACATGCAGGCAGTGGAAAAATTCATCACAATCCACCCCTTATGGATTGGCATCTGAATCTTGAACCTGTTGCCACTCTCAGGTGGCACCAGGAAGACTTGGAAGGGCAACATGAGTCAATGTTTCAGTTGGCCTAGATCTTGTGCCTCTCCTCCAACACCTAAGGACATCTGTCAGGTTAGGAGATGCCAACAGCAAAATTAGAACATATGGCAATTAGCAGTCCCTTTGGCAGAACAGAACTGTCCTGTCACAAGATCTTAATTGCCCAGAGCTTGAAGAAGTTACTTTTTTGGACTACAGCTCCCAGAATCTCTCAGCAAGGATGAAGTGGCAGTGGGACTCTGTCAAAGTCCAAGATAACACAGGCAGCCTCTCACCATGGAGAAGGGCACCAGGACCCAGTCCACCATGCACAGTATCAAGTCCAAAGACACTCCCTGCACAGCTGGCCATGACCAAACAGAGGGCAGAGACACCGGCTGGGAGCCAGGTCACAGGACCAGGAACACAGAGCCAGAACAAGGTGCCAAGATGCAGGAGACCTGCAGGAGCAAGCAGGAGCAGGAGCAGAAGCAGGAATACTGGAACACAGGGACTCTAGAGCAAAGCAGTAAGCCCAGCCCAGCCAAAGACCTTTGTTGCTGAGGCCAGTTCTGGGAGGGAGAGCACTCCTTCAATAGGCCTTCCCTCCAGCTTTCCAAGTGAGCCTCATGAATGGCCCAGCAGGTGCTACACAGGCCACGGCTTGATCCTGCAAACATCAGGCCATTCCTGGGTCAGGCTAGCCCCGGTCCTCCTGCTGCCAGGGTGGTACGGGCCAGATCCTGACAGATTCTTTTGCAAGTTCTATATTTGGCCTCTATTGTTTTCTTATATATAAATATCTGGGTGGTTTTAAGGCTAATTGCCAAGGTCTCAATCCATGGACTTGTGTACCACCCAGTTGAGTGACTGGTTGCACCTTTCCAAAGCTTGTGTAAATGGGCAAATGGCTTCTCGCCATTTGCCATTCTGTTTCCCTTGGCAGCATGACGGGCTGACACAGAACCGCTGGATAGCTCAGAGGATCAGGTCTCTGGCTGCAGGGCTAGAGGCTGGGAGTTCGATTCCCCACTTTGTCTCCCTGACACAGGGTCCCTTCCAGCTCTATGATAATGGAGGCTGGGAGTTCGATTCCCCACTTTGTCCCCCTGACACGGGGCCCCTTCCAACTCTATGATAGTGGTGACTATGATGACAATTAATACCTTTCATTTGGTGCATGGAACATCTTCCCTTCCAGGAATCCAGGTTGGCCACCGATTGGCTCACAGGAAACCATGGAGCCTCCCAGCCAGATTTACAGAATCTAGAGTAGTGGCTCCCAACCTTGGGTCCCCAGATGTTCTTGGACTACAACTCCCAGAAATCCTGGCCAGCACAGCTAGAGGTGAAGGCTTCTGGGAGTTTAGTCCAAGAACCTCTGGAGACCCAAAGTTGGAAACCATCATTCTAGAGTACTGGTGTCCAACCTTGGCCCTCCAGATGTTCTTGGACTTCAACTCCCAGAAATCCTGGCCAGCAGAGGTGGTGGTGAAGGCTTCTGAGAGCTGTAGTCTAAGAACATCTGGAGGGCCAAGGTTGGACACCAGTGTTCTAGAGCAACTTGTCTGCATCAGGTCTCCTTGAGTCTGTAAGAAACTGGTTTGCTGAAGTATGGTACCCCTTTTGCAATATGAGGAGGAGGAGGACAGCATGCACTGATGATGCAAGCTGGGTTTGATGCCTCCTTCCTACTGTCTAAGCCTGTGATCCCACACACAGTACATAGCCATATAATTAAGTTCCCTTTTCACTCCCGAAACATTGAATGGGATCTCATCCCCTGTGGACCCTTTGGATAGACTTGGTGCACGATTTCTACAGAATCATAGAGATCCTTCTGTTATGCTTTTTAAAAGAAGCTAACTTATTTCACTTACTTGGCTTACATTTTTCCACGTCCTTTACTCTGACAACCAGGACTCCTGTCTTGTTATAAGATTCAAACAAGTACAGGGGGAAAAAAACAAATTCAAGCAAATTTCAGATGCATAGACAAAATTTTGATGCTAAGACACAGCTAAATGACGGGTACAATGAAACATTGTCGAGTCAAAAAGCACTTGAAAAACACATTTAATAAATCATCCTGCTGTGACTCTCCCACCCCCGTATGTTTAAGGAGACTGAGTCATCATGAAACGGGTGGATCTCTCTCTTTGCCCCCCCAACTCCAAACACACATACTAGAGAATCATCTGCCTACATGATAATTAAAAGCCTATTGTAATCCTGTTACAAAAACCAGTTTAATTTAACAATCAGTGGGGTGGGGGTTGGGGGAATGGCACTTTACAAAAACACATATCAGGTGTTGATTCCTTAGAATAATCATCTCTGTATGGAAACCACTGTACCAGGTAAACACAGTGCTTCCCTCATTTACTTTGGAATATATAAAGGCACACAGTCTAATATGCAGAGTGTGTGTTCAAGGTTATTTTGTTTTTCGGCTGTATTTAGGAAAGCACGACAATTATCAGAATCCATTCTCATGGTCACTGATCCAGATTTATATATTTAATTTATTTTTATTTTTTTATGTAGCCTGCCTGACGTTTCTTGGAACCAACAGGAGTAGAAAAATAAAATAAAATTACAGGTGAATCTGTATTCTGGTGTAGCCACATTGATTGGATAGAGAAACTCAGTTAACAAATGGTAATTGTATCATGATATTCCATCCAAGTTAGGCCCTTCCCTAGATGGAGTGATAGACTGATTTTGGGGTTCATGCAGTGGTGGTTTTTTTGTTTTGTTTTTTGGCTCTTGTGTTCTGTTTCCTTTCTCTTGAGGAAATGTTTACAACCTGACCTCATAAGAACTGAACACAGGTCATAAATTACTGTGGTGTGAGATGCAACCTTACACCACTGACTCTCAAAGCTGGCTTGAGTGTTTTACTTGTGATCTCTCTATTTTGCTGTAGTTCACTCCATATGTCCGAAAAAGTGGAACTGTCCACAAAAAATGCATGTTAAAAGATAAGAGTTAGTCTTTAAGGTGCCATGTTTTGTTTTGTTTTTGTTTTCTTGTCTTTTTCTTATTATTATTTTTATGACTTCTTGTCTATTTTGATTTTTTTTACAGGTTTTCTTGTATTATTATTGTTTTTCCTTTGGGTTTCGCCTGAAAAGCTTGCACAGGCTAACATGGCTACCTCTGCGAAATGTATAAAAGGGGCATCCCAATTGGGGACCATGAGGTGTTCCCCGGGGAAACTTCCCATCCCAACCTTTGACCAGCACCGGACTCGTCTGCAATTCTTGTCTCTTTTCTTTAAGGCTGCCCCTTAATTGAAACAGGATGTTAAGCAAGATGGATCTTTGGTTTGATCTTGAGGTGCACAGCCTAAGACTTGTCCACTTGCGGCATGGTTTGAGAATGACCTGTTTCTTCACCATGGAGCTCTTAAAATTCCTGCAAACAGAACCTCCCATGTTCTGTGGCACAGATTCCATCCTCTTTTTTTTCCTGTGCATCGTCTTCCCAAGAGACAGCTGCAGGCAGCCCTGGGCACCCCCTCCTTCTCCTCGAGTCCCTGTGTGTGCTTTTGCATGATAAACACGACGTGATTCAGTTAAATGGGAAAGCAAAGCAAACTCATCATCGCACGGTGCTTTCTTGTTATTTATTTGTTTTGTGTTTTTTTCCTTCCTCTTATTCAGCAACAAAAACACCTAATACCAGCTGCTCGTGTAGGAGACACAATGGCCAATTTTGATTGCTTATGAGAAAAAGCGATGATCTGTGTCTCTCGAAGAGCGACGCTGCCTGCCTCCAGCTGCCTCCAAGTACAGCTTTAACCAAGTTTCTGGAACGATGTGATAGATTGGATCTGCATAATCCAAGGAGCGCAAAGGCGTCACCCAGCTACCCCACTAATGGGCAATAAAGCGAAAGCCCTAACATGCACAACATCAAGTGCTTAATCAATTACACATATATTTATGCAAAAGGGCGGGGATAACGGGGAGGGAAACTGACCCTATGGGTAGTTCTATCAGCACAGAGGATTTCTGTGCTCTTGGGAGCAATGACTGGAGCATGCCACAAATCCTATTAATGAATTAATTTGACTTTTGATTTGGCACAATTGGCTGCTCGTACCTGGGGAATGAACCCTATTCTAACCCCTAACTTGTGCTAGAAGTCTCCCAGTCTCTGTGGATTAAGAAACCACTTCATCAGGTGCCGAGCTTTCGTGGATTCAAGCGCCACTCCATTCGTGCCACTGTGAAGAACGTAGAAGTCCAAACGTACGTGGCATGATGGGGTTTGCTGGGCACTTTGCTGTTGGGTGTAAAGAGGTGACTCCAATGAGCTACACTGAGTTTACTAGATGGTCACCCCGGATCTCAGATGGACGACTCAAGTTCTCTCTCTCTCTCTCTCTCACACACACACACACACACAGAGAGAGTCATAAATGGGGGAGGTGGGTGTATGCACAGGGCCTGTGATTCTTTGTTTGGAGAAATGGGTTGTTATACTCGATTGACGAATGCCTAAGCAGTAACCATTAAACAGCAACCAGTCTCTGGACTTCCATCCAAGGGAGACATTGAAGAGAGATCTGCCTGGCCATTTCCACCTTGCTGAGAACTTTTTGGACATTATATCTAAGAGTAACATCCCTGGCAAAATCCATCTTGACTTGAACTTTTGGACTTTCATGTTCTTCACACGGGTGCAAACCTGAGGAAGGGGTGCTTTAATCCACGAAAGTTTGTGTATCGTTATGACAATTTTTTAGAGGTCTATAAAGGGATTGCTTATTTTAGTGTTTCTATCTTACAGACATGTGACAGCAATTTTAAGACGCTGACTCCGTAAAGGAAGCCACGGCTCAGAGTTTGGAAGAATTGACTATTGATGTCAGCACACTTTGGAGGGTCTTAATTCATAAGGTTGCCATGAGTGAGTGGTGACTTGATGGCCCATAACAACAGCAGCAGCAACAAAAAAAATCTGAAAATAGCATTCAAATAGGTCTTGTGCTGAAGAACCTGGTCTTTCTTAAACAGTGTGACTCCATTTAACATCAGAGGCACACTCCATATATCTGGGTGTCTCTCACTGGAGAAATTCTATTCCCCCTTCCTCATACTGGGAAGACCCTAAAGATTTCATAGTCCAGTTGGCATTTGAACGATGTATGTTTTTTTAATTGTCTGATCTGCCCCCATCTTTTAATATTGCTTTTTGTTCTCTCCTGCTGATAGTTTTATTTGATTTTTATTTTTAACACAAAAAAAATCTGATTTATTTATGCTTTTATGGTGTGGCTGTGTCAGCTACAGCTTGCCGTTGTGAAATTTCATTACACGGTTTTACTGACTGTTTGTGAAGCGGCCTGGAAGGACAATTTATCATGACAAGCAGTTTTAAAATCTATTAATTATTATAATTATTTATTATAGTGTTCATTAATACTACACCAACGTAAACAACAGCAAAAACAACAGCACTGTTATCATGGCGAGTGACACCGGGAGGTCCCCCGTTCTTACCTGCTCCTACCTATTCCAAAACTGCCCCCAGACGGCTGTTCTGAGTTTTCACAACTTTCCTCAAGATGAGTCAATGGAAATGTGAGGTAGGGTCTGCACGTCATCCATGTACAGATAATACTTTCGTCCAGGGCCTGTGATTCTTTGTTTGGAGAAATTGGTTGTTATACTCGATCGAGGAATGCCTAAGCAAATCTTCAAACAATTTATCCCAATTTGGTTTGGAAACTAATTCCGGATTTCCAAACTTACCTCAATTCTGCCCAGAATTAGTGGTGGACTACCTTATTGGACTGGTGAACTCAATCAAATTTGATTTGCGAATTGATGAAACCGATACATTGGAAAACCAATCACCAAACTGTTTTTGCTTATCTCACTGATGAACATGAAATGTGAAGATAGGACATTTCTGAAGAGAGTACACCTGCCAGATTCTAGACAGCCTTCAAGGGGTTATGTGCTAGACACATTTGCATTCGTTTGGGTTTTTTTTTCCCAAGAGAAGGAGAGAGAGAAAAAGCTGAAGTGATTTGTGCCCCATTCAACTCTATTTATGTCCCAGATCCAAAGACATCTATAAATTTGCTTCAGTTTGCACCAGAAGAGAATCTGTCACTTCTGCTCTGATCTAGACCTCATACATGTTTTGAATCAGGTGGATTCCATTTGTGTTCTATGATTTGTCCAAACCTGGTGCATAGCCCTGCCATGTGTAGATGTGAAAAAAATATGGTGGAATTTCATGGGATCCCAAAGACACATCATCACAAAGCATGTGATGATGGGGTTCACAAAAAAATTGCATTTGCTAAAATTATATAGACTTTCTCTGAAAAGACTGGGGGCAGGGTAGTAATGTGTGTGTGAATATATATATTTCATTAGGCAGGCAGGCAGGCAGGCAGGCAGGCAGACAAGATAGATAGATAGATAGATAGATAGATAGAGAGATAGATAGATAGATAGATAGATAGATAGAGAGATAGATAGATAGATAGATAGATAGATAGAGAGATAGATAGATAGATAGATAGATAGATAGAGAGATAGATAGATAGATAGATAGATAGATAGAGAGATAGATAGATAGATAGATAGATAGATAGAGAGATAGATAGATAGATAGATAGATAGATAGATGTTGCCTCACCTATGACAGACGATACTAAATAAAGCCATTGAGATTACATAAAGTGACCAAGGAAAGTTTTAATTCACAGGATCCTGCTCCACAGACAGATGGCCATTTCAGACTTTCTCTATTTTAATCTTTTGCTCAGCAAAGCAAACATCCTAAATCCCAGATAATGTAGGCTTTAACCTCGCTGATGTAGCCAAGAGCATTAGGGACGGACCTGGTGATGGGGTACATATGCTTGAGCAGCTGGAAGCTTAAGCATTCTAAGGCAGTGGACAGCCAGTTACCTGGCTGCATGCAGAGCCCTTGGGAGCGAGGGGTGTATCATGCAAACCGGACAACGGGCCCTACTTTGGGCCGTTTAACAACCTCCATCGTAAGGTATAGACATTTCATAAAGTGAATTGTTCCCCCACTATTTTGCCTCTCTGCCTTGCAAATTGAGTCTGTAACTAAGGCACATGATTCTGGCCTCTACAAGCTGATTAGAAGGAATCGTTTGTGGTGCCTCTCAACAGACAGAAAAAATCAAATCCTTTTTTGGTCTTCTTATTCCAAAATTCCCTATCCCTGCTCACCTCGGTTCCATTCTGATCCATCAAAAGGAGTACTTAAAAGGCTGTAATGTGGATGGATAGGTCAGTGAGTCAAAGACCTGGCTGTGGAGCCAAAGGTCAAGAGTTTAATTGGCTACTGACCTCGAGGGAGAATAATTTGTTTTATTTATTTGTTTAAAATATTTTTATCCTGCCTTTCTCCTTTAAAAGAGCCAAGAACCAGCCTGTGTAGCCTTGGACAAGCTGTATCATCTCAGGTTGATCCACAGAAGAATGGAAGGGTAAACCAACTGTCAATACTCTTTAACTAGCAAACCCCAAAAATAGCCAGCTTAAGTCAGAAGTGATTTTGGGGCACATGCTTATTAATGATGAAACCGCGGACAGTGAAGGAAAAGTTACTCTCAGGCTTGTGATCTGAGCACAGACTGCCTCTCACTTCAGAATATCAAAGATGATCTTCCTGCCATCTATTGGACACAGATTATGTCTATTGCTGCATGAATCAGATCACCTCTACTGCGAACATAGAACCGAAGAACGAAGAGATCTGGAAAAAAAATGATGTAAGCTGCAAGAAGGGTGTAGAGTTTTAGACAAAACATTAAGAAGACTATCCTGATGATAGGAGTTGTTTGATAATGGAATAGACAGCTTCGAAAGATGGTGGACTTCTTCATTAGAAGTATCCATTCACTCATTTCAGTATTTCACATTGACCCTAAAACTAGTAAATCTCAGGGTGCGGGACAAAACAATAACATCAAATTAAAGCCATCTTTAAAAATGCACACCCTTTGAACAATGTTACCAGATACTGGATGGCCACTTATCAGACAAGTTGTGGTCAAGGATTTCCTGTATGTATTGAAAGGGATCAAGCTACCTAGCCTTTAAGATTTGTTATTCTCTTTTTCCAACTGACTGCTTCCTTTTCTCCTGCTCAGTGTCTATCAGGTGGGCTGTATCTTAAAGCCAAAAGAGCAGAGGTGTGTTGATTGTTGCTGCTGTTAAGTGGGCAGCCTTAGTCTAAGGGTCAGAATATATATTACAGATAGTCCATCATTAGAAGATGAACTCTGTTCGTGTTCTAGAGATATAACCTTTGTGACTGAGCAATCATTCCCATAAAGGATGCCAGCGCTTACCTCCCACTGACCAATCACAAGCGAAATTGCAAGCTACAGGAAGCAGGGGGAAAAAACCCTGCTATGACAATCAAGCATTTTCAACACTGAAGCCATTCTGTTTCTAATGACATCTAGCAGCAGGTTTCATGCCAGGTTCTACCTGACAATTTCTAGTGTTCTCTGGTGTTTTCCTTTTGGAGTATTAAGCGGGCACAACCCTCTTTCGCTTCTGAAATCACACCAAGGTGAATTGCGTTGGCAATACCAAAGGAGCACAGGGCAAATCATACTGACTTGGGGAATGTCAGATACCAGCAGAGAAGCAACCTAGGTTCAACACTGACACAAAGAGCAAATATTGTGATGAAATTAGTCCTGGATTGTAACATACAATTGCATGGGGAAGCATCTAAAGGTAGAATTTTGCTTTCAAATGGGAGATTTTGTCATACCTACAAAACTAGCATACACTTCCTTCCTTCCTCTAAGCCCAGAGATCTATTTTGCCAGTGGCTTCTGTTGAGCTTCCTTCCTTCCTTCCTTCCTTCCTTCCTTCCTTCCTTCCTTCC